TCTTCCTCTTCTAAGTCCACCTTCTCTTCTCACCCTCTCGCCACCTGACTTCTCAGACTACGACAGAGAGAGACAGAGTTGTGACTTGAGACTTGACGACATTGGATCCAGACTTKACATTTGGGATCCAGACAGTTCGACGAGGGACTATTTGGGCTTGTGCCGAAGACTTGGTGTTGACGACATTCCCATCTTCCCCCTCCTCTTCGTCTATCCCCTTCCTCCTCGTCTGTGCATGTTCTGGGCTGGCGCTGTCTTCCTGTGTGAAGCGCCAAGCCCATTCACACCATGTAACGATGATGATGATGTATGTTCAGGGCTGCATTACAACATTGATTGTTCGGATCACTGGTATCTAAGTCTTCCGCTGTGCTATCTTATACCTTGTATTGAAAGGTCGGTTCTTGTTCTGGTCTGCACCTATACGGTATGCAACATCATGGGCTGATCTGAATTTTTGCAATCGGACCAGGATTTGGGTCTCAGGTTGTGTGTTACATGCCGAGCCTGCGCACGGGCCCCGTTCCGGAGGCCCGACGGTTGCTGGGGGCGCCCAGGCCGCATGCCCTTTGGACATGTGCCCTGGAGGCCCACGGCCGGCCTTAGGGCCACAGGATTTGATTTAAGGCAGCATTCATTTATTTGTTTATTTTTGCTGTCCTATTTTTGTCTGTTCAGGCGTTGTTTCAGACTTGCAGTTCGTCCGAACAGACTTTGGGTATGCTCGGACAAAGGCCGCATTTTGGGCCTTGTATGGTCCCAGGCAGGCCCTTTTCGGGCCAGGTTCGTTGTTGTCCAGATACGGACACTCCCGGCTGCATCAGCAGGGAGGGCCTGGACGTCCGGTAGGGACCTAGGTAGGCGACGTTTTGGCCTAGGACCAGAGGCACACGGAGGCACACCCACGAGGCCCAGCGCTACTTATAGCTGGGCCACGCCTGGGCAGACACAGTTCGAGTAGCTCACTTCTTGGGCGACATGCTGCTGGAGCAGCACGACAGCGCTACACTAGAGGTGGAGGTGTAGGTAGGGAAGGAGACGGAGACCATACCTGCCAGGATGGAGCTCCTACCTGGGTGCCATAGCTGGCCCTCTCGACCAGCGATCTGCACACAGAGAGAACGACCGACAGTAGTTACCTGCAGGTGAGACAGCGATGAGGACAATATCTTCTTCTTCGTCGTCGTCTTCCCCTCCATCTCTTCTTCCTCCGTTCTTCTTCTTCTTCTTCTTCTTCTTCTTCTTCTTCTTCTTCTTCTTCTTCTTCTTCTTCTTCTTCCTCTCCTTCTTCCTCTCCTTCTTCTTCTTGAGAGAGAGAGAGAGATTACAGGCAGAGTTTGCTTCGGGCGTCTTCTGCTTGAGAGAGAGAGAGAGAGAGATTACAGGCAGAGTTTGCTTCGGGCATGGAGCCCAGGATCTGATTTGACATTTTGAGGCTGGTAGACTATTTTTGGGCTTCGCTATCGTGATCTTGGTCTTCTCCCTCCTCACCATCTTCGTCTCGCCTCTCCCCCATCTTCTCATCCATGGTATCTCCCCCATGTGCGTGGTCAAGGAGGGACCTTTCTTCCATGTATGTGGTCCCTCCTCCTTCTCTCACATGTGTGGTGTATGATGGGGTGTCGCGTCAGTATCTGATAGGTCAGGTCATATCTTTGAGTCTTCCGCTGCACTACATTGTGCTATTTTCATATGTATCTGGTTGTACATTGCGCGTTGATGCTTTGCTGACACTGCATTGTCCATTTGAGTCCTTTTCATCATGTTGCGGATCCTTGGCTCCACATACGTCGCTCAACTGAGCATGTATCATTGTGCGAATGACCCAGATTGGCGACCCATGTGGGAATGGCTACCAGAGTATGGCACAGTATGGGCCCTGTATGCCTCCCTCCTGCCCGGTCACATCCTGCTGCCTCCCAGTTGTGTTCTGCCACCTGTTTGCTGACTCTTGCTCCTGCTGCTCTCCGGCCGTCCAGGTTCCTGCCCCCAACCTTTTCTCTCTCTCTCTCTGTCTCTGTCTGCTTGCCGCACCATGCCACGTGCCCCCTGCAGCCCACAAACTCGCTGGCTCCTGCATCACCTGTCCCCCAGACTCCCCCTCCCTCTGCTTGCTGTCGCCCACCCAGTCGCATCCTGCCACTCCCCGGTTGCCTTCTGCTGGCCCACCCGTTCACTACCTCCTGCTGCTTCCAGTTTCCACTTGCTGGTTGCCATTCCTTTTTCCTTTCTCTTTTAGAAAAACTTCTTCATTAAATGGGCGACGGTCTTGAGATACCATCATTGAGCTGACCGGCCCCAGGCAATTCAGAAATGTTTGGTTTTACTCATCAAGTTCCAGCAGCTGGATTCGAACTCGGGTCTGCATTTCAACAGTTCATGGGTGTACCCACTGAGCTAGGCTCTTGGGTTGCTGGTTGACATCCTCTTATTATCTGTTGTGTTTATTATTACAGTACTAACAGTAGTCATTTGGCTCAAAGAAACCTTTCCGATCTTAAAGATGCCACATGGTAATTCATAAACATACACTTAAAAGGAGGAGCCAGGTCAATGCCACCCAACCCATCCCCACGGACGCACGAGTACCCAAAGTGCGGACCTCTGAAGGGAACAGAAAACCAAAAACCAGGACTCTTTTGATTACCTCGGAACGTAACAGCCAAGGCTTGAATATTCATAAACAGATCATGAGTTCAAATCACGGACATAAATGAAAATATTGTATCTGATTGACGGGTTCACCGTTTTTTTCTGACGAGTGTTTTTCTGAACTGCAGAGCTTGGAAACCGCACGTGCGCACGAGGCTAACTTGCTGAAGAAAAAACCATCTGATTTCATGCAGCTCTTCAGGGTATGACTCTTTTTTCTTCTTCTCCCTCTTTTTTTCAGCTTACAAACTCTTTGTTTTTCAGCCTCTGCAGTAAAGATTGCCTTTCTGCTTTTTTTCTCCTGTGAAATTTCAAGTTGTTTGAGGCAATTGGCTCTTATGGTATTCTGTCGCAAAAGCCAAAAGGGACATTGCCCTAAGACGGTGACTCTGAAAGGCCAACAGTGGGTTGATGTTGCAGTCGTCAGGGTGGCAATGTGACAGTGTCTATGTACCTTCTGATAACCTTCTTGCCCCTGGGATTCCAGGCGTGCTTGAAAAGGATCTGCATCATTCCCAGCCCTGTGTTGGCCATTTTACTCTCTGGACACCATAACACAGACACTGACAAAAAGCATCTTGGGCAGCTATGTTTCTGATGTGTCCAGGTAGCTGAGTCTCTTTAATAGAGGCTTGGCCGCAGGTGGCATAGCATCGATCATGTTCAGAGGTGCTTGTTGACTTGCAGCTTAGAACGACGTAACTGTTGCCAATATTGAAAGCCGTTGGCTGTGATTGTGATGGTTGGCGTTGAATAAAATGCATCAGCACAGCTGTTGGCTGCTTGCTTTCTTTTCTTTTTTTTTTCATATCTCATGTGCAGGACTGCACCCAGAGAGGTGGAGAGAGAGGTGGAGAGAGAGGTGGAGAGAGAGAGAGACAGAGAGAGAGAGAGAGAGAGAGAGAGAGAGAGAGAGAGAGAGAGAGAGAGAGAGAGAGAGAGAGAGAGAGAGAGAGATGGTGGTAAGCATGTGCTAACGTCTGCTGTGTATGCCTGTTCGATTGAGCAGGATGTTCAGGCCAAGGTTGGAAGCATGGTGCTTGGCAAGGACAAAGCTCAGTCAGAGGTGGATGAAGAATACGAAAGCTTGAAGTCCTATGTGGCAGCATTAGAGACCCACCTAGCAGAGGCACGAAAACAAGCAGAGCGGCTTGTGAAAAGACAGCGAGGTGTGCATGTTTTTATGCCCCTCCTCTCAGACCCCCTCTGATGAAGGCAAGAAAACCTCCCTGCCATGTCTCATTGAATGTTTCGTGAATATGATTCTAATTTTGGAAATGGTGGGACCCCCGGATGCCTTTTTCCCTGTCACTTTTGACATTCCTACCACTATAGAAGCTCCTGATGTAACAGAAACAAGATCTTGCCCGTCCACAGTCCTACCGTGTTCACGGCCCAAATTATGTAAGTAAACTTTGATCCGGGCTGTCGGTGGTCCGACAGGGCCAACAGTTCTCATGATAGATAAGAGAGGAATCATACTCCCACCTGCCAGAGATAGTTGAGGCACAAATTAGCTGCAAATGGAGGTAGATCATACGGGCCCACCAAGGCTAGACCAGATAAAGTACTCCCTGGGCAGAGAGCGGTCTACAGACTTCGGCCAATAAGAGGCAAAATTACATGTATTGAGACAAGTTAAGGTGGAAGAAATGGGACACATAGAGATCTCAACAGCAGGAACGCATGATGTATGAGGCAGAAAACTATTAATCGATGTTGGCCAGGGGATCCTTTTGGGCCTGATGGAAGGATGCGTTTGGAGGGTCTTTCATGCGTTTGGAACCTACAGTTGCTGGTGGATTGGAACTGGACTGATGCTTGCCAGAATGGACAAGGACCCAGGACAATAAGGACCTGTTCAAAGTGAAAAAAAAAATAAAAAAATCTACGATTGCCGGTCTATCAGGACTGTTAGCCGACGGAAGGAAGCGTGGGAGTGTTCACCATGTATTCCAATTCTCGACTTGCCGGTGGACAGGAACCGGACTGATGCTCCCCAGAATGGATATGGAGCCAGGACCATAAGACCTGTTTAGCCAACCAGAGCAGACCATCGGGCATGGTTAGGATTTTGAAACATTGACGGATCCGCTGTGTGTGCCGATTTTGGAAATGTGTGTCAGATTGTTCATGTGTATCAATTTTGAAACATGCATGTGAAACTGCGGAGAATCTCCTGCACACCCACTTTTCATGTCTCATACTGTGGCAGGTTGCACGAGCTGGCGGGTTTTGGGAAGTTGGGGAAGGTGCGGGGAGATAGTGGTTGGGGCATGGGAAGTTGGGGGAGGAGATGGGTGGTGGTGGCAGATTGGGACGTTGAGGAAGGCAGTGGGTTTTGGGCAGTGTCCATTCCAGGCTCCATGCACTCTCACCCTTCCTCCACTGAATGATGTACTTCCTCCACCTGCCAGCCACCACCCGCTTGCCACCACCCACCCGGCCCCTCGACCTTGAGTGGCAGATAGAGAGGGAAGGGAGCAGAATAGCGCAAATCGAGCTCCACAATCCCCCAACCTCCTCAATCTCCACCTGGCATGTCCCCCAATCTCCTTAAACCCGCTGCCTCGAGCAGCCTCTTAAGCTCCACCATCTGCACCCTTGCATGTGTGAGAGAGAGTCCCCCTCTGCCTCCCGATCGCGTGGTATCTTCTGCTGCCGCACACAACCTCTGAGAAACCGCTGTGTTGTGTGTTCTCCCAAGCTCAGCCACCTGTACAGAGGCAGGGTGAAGGGGGGGGAGGAGAAGAGAGA